GTGGACACAGAATTGGAGAACAGAATATTCTGGACTGGGATTGGATTGAGTGGTGTATTGAGTGGTCTATAGAGGAGAGCGTCATCTCTGAGCTGAGTCTCGAGTGTTTCCACACATAAACACATTAAACATATGAAACATTCATTCAATACATAACTCAATACAGTATTGACTGTCAGTTGTGTTGAAACACATAAACATCTCCTCATTTGTTGAACACTTCTCCTCCACTTCTCCTTCACTTCTCCTATCAATCCATGGCTTCAATCACTTCCTCTTATTCTTCATCTTCAAGACTATTGTGTAATGTTTTCGACAAAATATTTGACGTAAAACTCAAAACCAAAACTCAAAACTTGATTAAACCGTCGATCAGATGGACGACCAACTCATCCAACTCTACCATTCCGTCCACTTTTTGTCCATTACTTTCGGTATGTATTCATGTCTTCATATTCTTTGCTTTTAACACTTGTTTCATATATTTGTCGCTATATTTTAGTCTCAATTAATATTTATTTATTTATTTAATATAATGTATTAATATTTTATAAATATTCATTAATCTTAAATGACCGAGTTTATTAACGCGGTTTCCCTACCAATATATGTCATACAAAATGGTTTATTAAATAAATTATCGATGAATTAATGGTTTGAATGGTTGGGAAGTGTTGGGGAAGTGTTGGTGAAGACATTGGCTGACAATGAGTTCCGTTTCTTGAGAATGGGATAAGAGTTATGACAAACTGTAAGAATTGAATGCATTTGAATGTGAGGTGAGATGTGATGTGCAAAAGGTTAGGGAAGGGAAGGGTAGGGCTAATGACCCTCTTATGGTCGACCCATTTACTAATAAATTGTTGAATTAATGCCTAAATTGTAAATAAATTGAAAGATAGGTAACTGTGTTGCGAGTCCTCACGAATATCCGTTATTTCTCATGAAATATTTAGATATTCAATATATGTTATGTTATGTTATGTTATGTTATGTATGTCTTTGCGGTATTTGTCGGACAGGTATTAGTTATGAGAGATGCTTATAAGATAGCAATGAGATGCCATTCCGACCACATTCCCACTCTGAAAGCTTGGGAGCCGTTGACTATTGGCTATGGCTTGTGCTGTCTTTGCCCGCGAGTACTGTTTGGACAGATAAATAGTATGGGATATTATGGGATAGTATTGTGAAGTGTAATGATTGGTATGACATGTAAGTTATGGTGAACTTTTTGGAGACAAGAGTTGTTGTGAACTCTTGTACCACACAGTGCCAGGCGATGAGGCGATCGGTGCTCATGGATCTGGTGCTGCATCTCATCTCTATCTACAGCTATAGGCGTCCAATACTAATGCCAAACAAGTTATGCCCAAAAACGCGCCACTCGTTCGGCAACTTGTGATGTGATTGTCGGCAATAAAAAGCTAAGCAATGCATACCGTTATGTAATAGTTATATACTTGTAGCGCATTTAAGGCATGACAGGTATGGCAGGTATGGGTAGCGATTGCAGGTCACTAAGTCATACCTGCTATGTCTTCAATCAGGTTCCCTATCATATATGTGGTCTTCTCTCTCGCATTCCTGTATTACCGGTGCGTGAAATGTATTTACATTTCTATTCATTTACTAAATTCATTACATTCTAAATGTTTGTTCATTACATATATAATTGTCATTCAATTTATTCATCCGATCGACAATTTATGTGTTTATGAATTTCATCGCAATCGCAGACATCTCTCGTATTTTCAAATGATTTCCTTGATTTTCATTCAATAGTAGTTCCCATTTAGGAAATGACACTAATTTTAGAGCCCTATGTAAACACTCTTTAATCTAAAATAAAATCGCTTGACTTGAAAGCCATTTAAATGAAGATATCAATGAATTCACACATCTATCAAACAACTCGTATAACTCGATAAGCATTGATCTCAAAACTAGAAAAACAAATATTGATAATTATTTATTATACAATGCATACAAAGTATATGTTATTCAAACAATTAGCCACTTATCGCTAATTAACGCTTTTAATGTTTTTTATATTTATTGAAACAATTCTTTGTATAATAAAAGAATTGTAATATAAAAATGGATTAAAGATTATAAAGTATTTAATAATAAATTATGCCGTATTGTAAATAATGCATTACTAATACGTGCATTCATAAAGGTTTAAAGCTTACCAAAGAACCAGAATAAATAATTCTCGAAAATAATATTTTATTAAAACAGTTCTCATAAAGATATTAAGTACTAAAAGCTTTAAAACACAATTTTTATTTAAATTCACGTCATATATAATAATATTTATTACACGAATGTAGACTATAGTGTGATTTAATGTTAATTTTTAAAGAATAATTTAATTGATGTCTGTTTAATACCTAACGTCTAATGATGTGGTTAAAAATTATCTCAGAATAATATCCCAATAATGATTGTATTTAATGAAAGTAATTAAAACATTTGTTTGTATGACTTATAGGTAAGCACTGAAAAGAGAGCCAAACTTCGGACAACTCCTTTGGTTATGAAAGCCATTTAAATGAAGATATCAATGAATTCACACATCTATCAAACAACTCGTATAACTCGATAAGCATTGATCTCAAAACTAGAAAAACAAATATTGATAATTATTTATTATACAATGCATACTAAGTATATGTTATTCAAACAATTAGCCACTTATCGCTAATTAATGCTTTTAATGTTTTTTATATTTATTGAAACAATTCTTTATACAATAAAAGAATTGTAATATAAAAATGGATTAAAGATTATAAAGTATTTAATAATAAATTATACCGTATTATAAATAATGCATTACTAATACATGTATTCATAAAGGTTTGAAGCTTACCAAAGAACCAGAATAAATAATTCTCGAAAATAATATTTTATTAAAACAGCTCTCATAAAAATATTAAGTACTAAAAGCTTTAAAACACCATTTTTATTCAAATTCATGTCATATATAATAATATTTATTACACGAATGTAAACTATAGTGTGATTTAATGTTAATTTTTAAAGAATAATTTAATTGATGGCTGTTTAATACCTAACGTCTAATGATGTGATTAAAAATTATCTCAGAATAATATCCCAATAATGATTGTATTTAATGAAAGTAATTAAAACATTTGTTTGTATGACTTATAGGTAAGCACTGAAAAGAGAGCCAAACTTCGGACAACTCCTTTGGTTCCCATTAGACCCCATAAATTAGTTGCGAGTCCTATAAGTCAACGTCTGTTAAGCACCTCATTATATCACCAAAAGTCATCGTCTGTGCAGCAAAACACTCAAACACATCAATCAAAATCAATAAATCCGTTCAAATTGGCTGAGAATGACTTAAACAGTCTTTACGCAGACATTCGCAAAGAGTTATGGACTGAAAGACCAGAGTTGGAAGAGATCGCCGGCTATTACTTCGATGGTCAGGGAAAGGCGTTTCGACCGATGGTCGTTGTATTGATCGCTCGGGCACTCAATCATCACATCCAAAGAAGGCCTGATTTGCTTGAGTCCCAGAAGACAGTGGCGATGGTGACCGAAATGATTCATACGGCGAGTCTGGTTCACGACGATGTGATCGATACGGCGGACACCCGGCGCGGCAAAGCCAGTGTCAACGTGTTGTGGGGGCAGAAGAAGGCCATATTAGCCGGTGATTACATCCTCTCCAGAGCTTCGCAAATGTTGGCCCGACTTCAGAACGAAGAAGTGATTCTAGTTTTATCGCAGGTATAGTACTGTAGTGTCTATGCGTTGTGATTGTAATAGAGAATTGACCATGCTTGTGCTTGTGTTGGTGCTGTAGGTGTTGTTGGATTTAGTTCAGGGAGAGTTCATGCAAATGGGCTCCAAAGAGGACGAAAACGAACGATTTTCTCATTATATACACAAAAGTTTCAAAAAGACTGCCAGTCTTATAGCGTACACGTGTAAAGCGGTGGCGCTATTATCGGGCGCTAATCAGGCCTTCCAAGAGGCGGCCTTTCAATACGGACGCAATTTGGGAATTGCCTTCCAATTAGTGGACGATTTGTTGGACTTTGTCTCGAGTCAGGCAGAGTTGGGCAAACCGGCCGCCGCTGACCTCAAACTAGGCTTAGCGACCGCTCCGGTGCTGTTCGCGTGCGAGAAATTCCCGGACCTAAACATTATGATTATGAGACGATTCTCCGAACCCGGAGACGTCGAGAAGGCCTACGAAGCAGTTATGAAGGTATGCAGTCATCTGTCATTGCTTTCGTGCTTACATTAAACATGTATTTTCAATCACTTTCAGAGCGACGGCTTATATCACACCCGAATCCTGGCCCGAAAGCACGCCGACGAGGCCTTACGACACGTCTCGGGATTCTCCGATTCGGCCGAACGACACGCTCTCATCTCTTTGACCGAAATGACACTCAATCGGAAGAAGTGATCCTTAGATAAGAATTTGTAAATATAGTTAACGTTAATTATGGAAACAAGTATAGCATATGAGCGCCGTTTTGATCGGAAGTGAAGTGCCATTCATTTAAAGTCTTCCCAATTATTATATTCCTCACTGTTTTTATGAGACAATCGATGTCTGTCTCGACTGTTATTTCTTTTGTACAGTTAATGATTGTTAAGAATTGGCTTTAATTGGCGTTTGGGTTATATATTAAAATATTTTTAAACTAGAATTTTAAGGCTTTAAATCTTATTCTAATGTCTTATTCGTTTGATTTCCCAATAATTTAGTTATTCCTCTAAAACAAATCACTTAAACAAACAATTGCTTCAAATTTATATTTGATTGCATTATTAAAAACTAACTAAAATGTGAGCTCTGTTTGCATTTTTCAGACTTAATAAATTACACAAAAAAATGTTCAAAAAGATAGTCTAAAAATTAATTTAATAAAAAACGAAAAACTATTAAATATTACTATAATTTTTATTAGAAAACTATTTCATTAAAATATTTTTCACTTCCTCTGCATTTAATGTCTCGTATTTGAGCAGAGCTTCGGCTAAAAGTTTGTGTTCTCTGCTGTGGGTCTTGAGTATAGTCTTCGCCCTTTCGTACGAATCCTATTCAGAGGAGAAAACAATTTCCAAAATTAAACCCAAAATGTTGTCAATCAATGTATTGAATACCTGAAGAATTTTCTTGATCTCACTGTCGATGGTCTCTGAAGTACTGGCGGCCATATCGTTGACCACAACCAGTGAGTTGTGATCTTCTTCGAAGGTTCGGATTCCGATCTACACATTGAAATCAATTATCATTACTAAACATATAAGACATCATTTAAGACAGTAATACCTTATCAGACATTCCGAAATCCTTGACCATATGAGTGGCCAAATTAGTGGCTTTCTTAAGGTCATCGTAGGCACCAGTGGTGATCTTTTCGGCACCAAATATCAGTTCTTCGGCAGCTCTTCCGCCCATAAGTGTATCCATTTGTGCCAACATTTGAGACTTAGTGGTGAAGACGCGTTCTTTGTCTGGCAGTTGTGCCGTATGTCCCAAAGAGGGTCCGCGCGGAACGATTGTCACTTTATGTAATGGATGAGAGTCTTTAGTGAAGTGGGCGACCAATACGTGTCCGCCCTCGTGATAGGCAGTGATCACATTCGCCTCTTCGTCGGGGATTCGGCTCTTCCTCTCGGGTCCCATAAGTATTTTATCCCTCGAATTCTCCAGATATACCATTGTAACGGACGGCTGACCGTCGATGGCAGCCCTGAGCGCCGCCTGATTCACCAGATTTTCTAAGTCAGCGCCAGTGAAGCCAGTGGTTCCGCGAGCGAGCATTTCCACCTTCACATCACTTGAATACTTCACTTTTGAGAGGTAGAGATCAATGATCTCTTTTCTGCCTTTAAAGTCAGGCACCGGTACCTGAACTTCGACGTCGAAACGCCCGGGTCTTAGAAGAGCGCGATCTAAATCATCGCGTCTATTAGTGGCGCCCAAAACGATAACCCCTTCGTTCTGTCGGAATCCGTCCATTTCGGTCAGCAATTGATTGATTGTCTGATTGGCGTACGGATGGAGTACTGAAGTGCTTCGTTTGGCACCGACTGAGTCGATCTCATCGATGAACACAACACACGGAGCTTTCAATTTGGCGGTACTGAACAAATCGCGGACACGACGCGCTCCCTGTCCGACGAGAATCTCATCGAATTCAGGTCCCGCCGCGTGAAAGAAGGGAACGCCAGCCTCTCCGGCCACCGCTCGGGCCAACAATGTCTTTCCAGTGCCGGGCGGACCGACCAGTAGTACTCCTTTTGGCAGTTTTCCGCCCAAAACTGAAAACCTTTCGGGATCTCTGAGAA